TGCTGGAGAATCTGAGATAACAAGGTGTAGAGCTGGATGAACACAGCGGGCCAAGCAGCATCAGAGGAGCAGGAAAGCTGACACTTTGGGCCTCGACCCTTCTTCAGAAAGCCCGAAACGTCAGCCTTTCTGCTCCTCTAATGCTGCTTGGCCTGCTGTGTTCATCCAGCTCTACACCTTGTTATCTCTAATTCTCCAGACAGTCTGTTGAGCCACAGCTTTTCTCTGTCATTAGGCGACTAACTTTCCCTCAGGCACCAGATACTAAAACCTTGTAAGAATGGACTGACACAGTTAAAGAATATTATGACTCCATGCCGCCAACAATTCTGAGACACTATTGCTTTTACTCGCAAATTTGGAATCTGTAACATGGTTTTTGATTGAGTTAAGAAGCCTTTGAATTTGGTTTAACTCTTAATAAGCTGTTTAGAGACTGACTGGGTTAACGATGTAACCATGTAAAAACACCTTCTAGCTGAAACCCAACTGCACTTCAAACAGGCACTACAACTGGCTGTATCATTGGAAAGTGTGACAAGGGAGTATACAAGTTGCAAGGTATTCCCATGAAAGTGGACAACCTCACCAGTCTGACTGAGATTAGGAAACACCATTTGAGTGCAGGCAATTGTGCAGCCTCAGTCAGAACATATCCTGGTCGGAGGCGCTCTACATCAGCCCACAGCAAAACCCCAAAATAAAGCCAAGCCTTGGCCAAATGGTTAAAATTTTCTTCAGGTTCCTGGCCAGCAAACCATTGTAGTTGTTGTTGTTTTGAGATGGCAAAAGAATCCAATGAGAAGATAGGAGGCATGGTTAGTAAGTTTGCAGATGGTGCCAAAGTGAACAGTGCAGAAGGCTATTGCGACATTAGAATTAGAATCCCTACAGTGTGGAAACAGGCCCTTCAGCCCAACAAGTCCACACTGACCCTCTGAACATCCCACCCAGAACCATTCCCCTATAACCCTGAACACTCTGGGCAATTTAGCATGGCCAATCCACCTAGCCTGCACATCTTTGGACTGTGGGAGGAAACCCACACAGACATGGGGAAAATGTGCTAATTCCACACAGACAGTTGTCCAAGGGTGGATTTGAACTTAGGTTCCTCGCGCTGTGAGGCAGCAATGCTAACCACTGAGCCACCATGCTGCCCTAACTACCTATGCTTACAGAGATCATTGTCAATTGGATCAATCGGCTGAGGAGTGGCTGATAGAGTTTAATTTGGATAAATGTGAGGTATTGCATTTTGATAAGACAAACAAAGGCATGACTTACACAATTAGTGTACAATGTACAGTGTACAATTAATGCTAGGGCCTTGGGCAGTGTTATAGAACAGAGAGACCTGGGGCAAAAACAAAGTTGCTGGAAAAGCTCAGCAGGTCTGGCAGCATTTGTGGAGGAGAAAACAGAGTTAACGTTTCGGGTCCGGTGACCCTTCCTCAGAAGGGTCAGTTCTGATTTACAGCATCCGCAGTTCTTTTGGTTTTTATTTAGAGAGACCTGGGGGTTCAGGTATCTAATTCTTTGAAATTTGTGTCACATGTAAACAGGGTGGGTAAGAAGACGTTTAGCATGCTTGCTTTCACTGTTCAAACCTTTGAGTTTAGGTGGTGGGACTTCATGTTGAGGTTGTACAGGACATTGGTGTGGCTTCTTTGGAGTACCTGTGCAGTTCTGGTTGCCCTGTTGTAGGAAGTACATTATTAAACTAGAGAGGATTCAGAAAGGACTTACCAAAATGTTGCTGGGAATGCAGGGCTTGAGGTATGAAAATAGACTGGAGCGTAGGAGGTTGATGGGTGACTTTATAGACAAGTGTCTTTTCCCTCGGAAGGGGTAGTTCAAAACTAGGGGGCATATTTTTAAGGTAAGAGGAGAAAGTTTTAAAAAGGGCATGAGGGACAACTTTTTACATAGAGTTGTTTGTGTGTGGAATGACCTGCCGGAGAAAGTGGTGGATAAAGGTACAGTTACAATATTTAAATGGTAGTTAGTTAAAAGGTAGTTAGGGCAGCACGGTGACTCAGTGGTTAGCATTGCTGCCTCACAGCGCCAGGGACCTGGGTTCAAATCTGTCCTCGGGGCAACTGTCTGTGTGGAGTTTGCGTGTCTGTGTGGGTTTCCTCCCACAGTCCAAAGATGTGCAGGGTAGGTGGAATGGCCATGCTAAATTGCCCAGAGTGTTCAGGGATGTGTAGATTACATGGGTTAAAGGGGAATGGTTCTGGGTGGGATGTTCTGAGGGTCGGTTTGGACTTGTTGGGCTGATATTTAAGTTCATGAATGGGAAAGGTTCAGAGGGATTTTGGTCCCAGTGCAGGCAGGTGGGACTAGTTTAGTTTGGGAACATGGTCAGCATGGACTGGTTGGACTGAAGGGTCTCTTTCCATGCTGTATGACTCTATGACTGTATAACTAAATTGAGTAAGATAACTCATTGGCCAGTTCCCAGGAGAGTTCAGACCCTGCAAAGTTCACCCACATCTGGTTTGGAACAGTTAAATTGCTTTGCAACATCAATATCAGTACCAATCAAGATATACATCCGGTGAAATGGTCATCTGGTTCTCATGGTGACAGATATCAGTGATTGCAGAACCAGTTTTTAATACAATTCACTATGGACTCTAGCCGTAACTTTGCACAAGAACTCGGCTAGACTGAGAATCTATACCAGGGAACATTTACAGATTAAGGGTACAACTTGAGTTCTGCTCTTATAAAAAGCAATTGGCTCAGTTATCACTGATTGCAGTAAAAGACTCAGGCCCAAGCTTGATGGGGCAGAATTGTTGCGAGAGATTCATCAACGCTTTTCAATTAAGAAATGGCTGCCTAAGTGAAGTCCTAATTAAATATCCAGAGGCCTTCCAGGGAGGTCTGGGACTATCAGAGAACCAAGGGCCACCTTGCATGTTGACCAGGAAGCAATTTCATGATTCTGCAAGGCCTGCCCACTGCCATTTGCCTTATGAAATCAGAAGGCTGGCGATCGACAGAATCATCAAACCAGTCCAATTTGTGGAGTCAGCAGCGTTGGCCGGATGGGTCAGTCGCCTTTGTGGGGATTTTAAACAAATAGTAAACCATTTCTCACAGCTGGTAAAACAACCAAGCTCTCGGGTAGAGGATTTATATGCAAAGATGGCATGGGGGCTGTCCTTCTCGAAGCTGGATGTGAGCCCCGCTTACTTGCAATTGTATTTAGGCCTGGATTTCCAGAAGTATACTACAATTAATACCCATAAGGGTTTGTACCAAAATACGAGATTGCCATTTGGGGAATCGTTAGCCTGTTCAATTTTGCAACTTATACCTCAGGTCGCTATTTACAAAAACAATGTGCTGATAACAAGGAAACTAATAAGGAAGACTGAGTCAACTTGGTATCGTCCAAAGACAGCTTTTCCAACGCTGGTATATGCCTAAGAAGGAAAAGGTGTTCTAGACCTCACCAAGCGACCTACTTGGGCTACAGGGTTGACAAGACCAGGTTACACATTGGAAAATAAAGTAAGGGCAATCAAAGGTACCCCAGCTCCTACATCTGTCAAGGAACACAGATCATTTCTTGGGTTGATAAATTATTACGGAAACTTCATTCATAACCTAGCATCTTTGCATCAATTCCTTTAACAGGGTCATGCTTGGAAATGGTCCCATAGACAAGCCCTAGCTTTCGATAAAGAAACAGCTATCATCCTCAAACATATTGGCACACTAAGATCCCAAGGAAGATCTGATATTGATGTGCAATGCATACCTGTACAGCATCAGGGTGTTATTAGCTCATAGGTAACCCAATGGAGAGGAACACCCAATACTGTATGCATCCAATACCTTGGCTAATGCAGAGTGTAAATATGCACAGATAGAAGAAGAAAGATTGGCAGTCATATTTGGAGTCAGGAAGTTCCACCAATACCTTCATGTGATAATCACAGACCACAGACCCCTACTTGGTCTGCTCAAAGAGGACAAAGCATATTCAACAGTGAGCTAATGCTGAGTGCTTGTAGTTACAAGTTAGAACCCCATTCAGGAGGCCGAGTCGCAAATGTAGATGCATTGAGCCACCTCCTGTTAGCAAATACACTACCCGTGGTACCGCCAGTGGAACAGTCTGTTAATGATATTCAATTTTCTGGACATGCTCCTAGCCACATCTAACAATATCAGACTGAACAGGGAAAGATCCAGTCCTTTCCAAACTGAAGCAACTGGTATTAAGGGGCGAAATCAAAGGGATGTCACAATTAGAATTCAAACCTCTTTTTTTCAGACCTGAAGAGACCAGCTCATAGTAGAGGACGGCATACTGTTATGGGGAACAAGTGTGATTGTCTTGAGCAAAGGTCGCTGCCAGATTATGGCTGAACACTACCAGGGCCATCAGGGGTCTCTGGAATGAAGATGCTGGCGAGAGATTATGTCTGGTGGCT